ATTTAGGTGAAGTAATTAATGAAAAAGACCGCTGTAAAAAATGTGAAGGGAAGAAGGTGATCAAAGAGGTAAAAATACTTGAAGTCCATGTAGATAAAGGCATGAAACATGGGCAGAGAATTACATTCAGCGGAGAAGCAGATCAGGCTCCCGGTGTGGAACCAGGCGATATTGTCCTTTTACTCCAAGAGAAGGAGAATGAGGTAATGCTTTGGAGTTTATCTTTTAAATGCCTTTTATTCCAGTTGTTAATATTTAAGTTATATAGATAGCCATTCATTTAAAGTAATTGATACAGTTGCAGCTCTGGGAGAGATGGGGAATAGCTTTTAATAGATTTATAGTGTGTAATACTGCTTTCATGGTGAGCCAGAAAAAACTGGGCAAGTCCTTAGCCAGGGGACAGGCAGCTTCTGGTGCCTCCTAATGCTAGCAAGAGGTATCTTCTCACATAAGCTCAGACTGACTTTGATACAGCAGATGCAGTGAAGAGCCATTCAGGATGTTCACTTTAGTCTGCTTTGCTTGTGACACTAACAAAATTCTAAGTGTGGCTTTTTGCCATGTCTTGTGACATGGCAGGGAACTCCTGATAAAACCCCCTGATGGTGCTTTCTATGTCTGCTACTGTGGTTCTGGAAATAACACAAAATGATGTTGCTGATTCACTTAATAAAACAAACATTATTATTTTATACTGGTTTGGTAAGACTTATGTTCACTGTATTCTGGACTACATACACTGCACTTTGGAATTAAATGTTGCAATGTTATCTTCTCCTGTTAAAACTCATGTGGGACAGAGTTGAGGTGACTGCTCCATTTTTAATTCTAATAGCCATGATGAAGTAAGAAACAGTTTGTGTGTTACACTCTAGGAGGAGTTTTCTGTTATAACAGAGTAGCATGGGGTACAGATTTAAACTACAGTCATATATTAAGGATGTCATGTTAGTTATCTGCTAATTAGGTACTTTGTAAGCTTTTCACAGCTGTGTCAAGAACTGCCAATCTGCCAGTCTGTCCTAGTGAGTAAAACTAGATAGACTTTGTGCCTAAAATTTCTCTTGAGATGGGACTCATGGTTCTGCCAGTGGACAAATTTTAAGATTTACTCTGATTAAGAATCCCGAGTTATGTGGCCTGAAGATCTCTTCTGACAGCTGTGGACCAAGTGATCAAAGTCCTGCTGTAGGTCAAGGGAGCTAAAGCAGATATGCTTGAGGACAAGACTTGAAAAACAAAGATGTGGTTTATGTACACTCCAGTGCAGGGGAAATAGCATCAAACTGTTGTCAGTTTTGTTTATAGGTTGCTTGTGTGGAAGATGTTGGGGGGTGAAAGTTGGGGCTGCTGTGCAGGCCTGGTTTAATTTGAATCTTACCTTGGTGTGTGGTGTGGTTTGGCTTATTTTAGATGACACTTGGTCAGGCACAAACTTCCAAGCGTGTTAAGCCATCTGAATTAATAGAATCAAGTTCACTTCATACAAAGGCTGTTGCTGTGACATTGAATTTTAAGGCTAAATAATAATGAACTCTCAGTAATGAGTCTGGTGGAGTTGTGATTCTAGTGCTAGCAAGGGTATCTCCTTTGTTTCCCAGGTGTTCCAGCGGGATGTGAATGACTTGCATATGACACACAAGATTGGACTTGTTGAAGCACTGTGTGGATTTCAGTTCACATTTAAGCACCTTGATGGACGTCAGATTGTGGTTAAATATCCTCCTGGAAAAGTAATTGAACCAGGTAGGCTTGACCTGATAAGGATTTCTTGGATTGTGTTTTTGTGATTCTTCAGCCCTTAATCCCACCCTTGTTGTCCTGTTAACTGAGCCTAGGCCAGGGAAACAGAGAACTGTATGGAGAGAGAATGGCTGTGCAGTAGCACTTTGCTGATTACTTTACTTCTCTTTGAATTCCAGGTTGTGTTCGTGTAGTCAGAGGGGAAGGAATGCCACAGTATCGCAATCCTTTTGAGAAGGGGGATCTCTACATTAAATTTGATGTTCAGTTTCCTGAAAATAACTGGATTAGCCCAGAAAAGCTTTCAGTAAGTAGTTGTTCGAGCATAAATGTGGTGTCTTACTTGACTGTGTGTGCATAGAGCCCATGTTGTACCTCATGGGCTTGCCCTCAGTGCTTAAATTCAAATGCAAGTAAAGTTCTTTTAGCCTTTTTTATGAGCCATGTTACTTGGACATACCCCTTGAAATATGAATTTTTGGAAATTGTATTTAAGGAGAGCCCATGTTGTACCTCATGGGCTTGCCCTCAGTGCTTAAATTCAAATGCAAGTTCTTTTAACCTTTTTTATGAGCCATGTGTTACTTGGACATATCCCTTGAAATATGAATTTTTGGAAGCTGTGTTTAAGAGCTGTGCAGATGGTACACAGATGAGGGCAGGAGGAAAATCTTTCTGTTGCTGTGTGATAAGTTTATGGAGTGCAACTGTATTTACTGATTGCACTTTTGGTTGGTGATATGTAGAGCTGTTGGTTTTCTTGAAGTGGTGTCTTCCAGTGGATACAAATACTTTTAAATGACTCTGCAGTTCAGGGCTTTCATCAGAATAGACTTCTAAACTAAACCTGCTCTTAGAGGTGTCTCAAAGTTATGGGAAACCGGTCACTTCATTTAGGTCTTCTAGATGCAATACTGAATGCATTTCTTTTTTTGGGGCAGGAACTTGAAGATCTTCTGCCAGCTAGACCAGAATTTCCCAATGTAATTGGTGATGCAGAAGAGGTAGATCTTCAAGAATTTGATACCACTCGTGGTTCAGGTGGTGGCCAGAGACGTGAAGCTTATAATGATAGTTCTGATGAAGAAAGCAGCCATCATGGACCTGGGGTACAGTGTGCCCACCAGTAAACATTTGTCTAAAAAGTTGCACAAGGATTTTCTTTCAAATTTTGCCTGACTTGTTTTCAACAATCCAGCTGGATTGTATAAGTAATCCAGATGAACCAATGGACATCTATTGCTGTATGTGTAACTTTTAAATTGGTCTATAGTATCTACAGAGTGTAATTTAAACTAACCACAAGCTTACATCTTCATTTTGACTGTGTAGCAGAATAAAGCACTTGAAAGGAAGACGAGACTCCTTTTCACATGAGTTTTAAGTTTGTCCTCGTATCTGTGCTTGATTTTTACCAGTTTTGTGTAGATTTTAAGTTTCATATTTTAAATTCAAATTCTACATTGTAAAGTTTGTGTACAATTTGTCCTGAGGCTTGGTATTTGGCTGCACCTGCATAAGCTGCTACAAGTAGAATCAAGAATTTCATAGCCTGTATCTATCATCTAGATGCATGGTAAATGGGCTTTGCACATAATGGGTTTAGAGCTGACTGGGAACAATGAAAGACTAAATTAGAAGTGGTTGTAAGTTTTTTTCTACCATCTTGTGAACGGTTTCTGAAATTAAATAAAAGCAGTTGGTGTATAATATATTTCTTTTGCCTTGTAACTCTTACTTTTCCAGTGGCTTTAACTAGTCTGTGTATGAAGAGACTATGTAGATGATAGATATTTTATAAACACAGGGAGGCTGAAGCTGCCTTAAGACTAGGTGAAGGTTAGGTAACAATTGTGTGCCACATTCATGTCTCTTCCTGAAATGAGAGATGACTTAAATGGGCACAGGGAAGGCTGCAGCCATGTCCCCTTTGTGTGAAGAAAACACAAGGATATCTGAATTCAGTCTAAAGATAACAAACCCCTTAAATGGGGAATGATTAAATTTTGAAATAATGGTGTCTTTCTCTTAGCCTTTGAATCCTATTCAAAGTCTGATTCAGCCTCACTTCTAGAGAAATGTTTCCAGTTTAAAAAAGAATTGTTTAACCTGGAAACATAATAAATGTAGATGGTTTTGTTACTTTTCTAGTAGTTTGCACTTTGGTTTAAGTATGAAGATACTAAAATCTCCAGCTGCAGTTCTATTGCTATTAATTGGCAATAATGCCTGAACAAAGCAAAAATGTGACCTTAACTAAGGAACTGTTGTGCATGAACAGTGTTGGGTTGGTAAGCTGCCTCTATAGCAAGGTTTCTCTCCTGTTTAAGTGAGAAAGTTGAAGCTCTACTTTTCTTTACAAATCTGAAGTGTGACTTGTTTAGTTATTTTTCTGATAGTTGTTGACACTTTATTGATGAGGTTGGAGGGACAAACTCCAAAGGTTTCAATGTGCTTGGGTAGGCATTGGCATTTGAGTGTTGCTGAACATCCTTGTTATAGACTCTAAAAATGAAGCAAAAATAAATACTGTTTGATCTGTATTTCAGTACTGGCTTATGATGTGGCATTCTCTAGTGGGTCTTTTATTTTCATTTTTTAAAACTTGGGGTTGCTTTTTGTGAAGCCATGGTTACATGCTGATCCTTTCTCCTGACTCGTCTCACCATGGAGTCAGTCCTTGTAACCTGCAATGCTTAAACAATTACAACACCTGTCTTCTGCTTGTAAGTCCTTGCAAAATAGAGCAATACTCTAAACCTTTAATCCCCATCCAGATTGTTTGGTTTTTTGAAGGGGAAGAGAGGAAGGGATTCATAGTAACTTTTCAGATAGCTGAAGTGAAGGGGTGGAGGAAGAGCTGATCACTGTAGGGCAGTTCTGCTTCAGTCCTCAGCTGGCATTAATTTGGGCTCCTGCCAGCAGCACCTGATAAAGAACCTGATAACTACCTGTCATCTTGCACATTACTGTCATGTCACACATAAGACTGGAAATAAATGTTATTTCTGTGTTAGATTCATATATGCTACCACATACCTACAAGATACTAAAAATTTAGTACCTTGTATTTCAGTTTATTTGTGAGTTGATATTAGAGAAACTTATTTCTTATATACAGCCTCTTACTGTTCATTTTGCTGTGAACTTAGTTAAAATCCAACCTAAGCCTTTTATAAAGAAAAAAATTTCTTCTGCTGTGGTATCCTTCATAACTTAAGGAACTTAATAAGACACATCACATGATATAAAAGCTTATATAAACATTTACTAGGCAATATACAGCTTTATTAAGACATAATAGACATGATTTCAACACTTTGGAGGCAGCAGGCAAGAGCAGTCACCAATGTTCTGTAGTCACAAGACAGTTCCATTAACTTGGTTTAGGTGTTACCTTTCCACACAGTACTGTCAGCTCACTCTGAGGGGGGAAAATTCATTTTAGCTTAAGCTGCCCAAAAGCACGTGGAAGAAGAAAGGCTCCTACTGTTAAAGCAAGCAGTGAGCACTTACTCACTCCCCACTGTCTGCCTACAGAGGCAGGGCTGTAACAAACACCACAGAACAGCTCCCAGACCTGTAGCTTGACTCAGCTGCACTGGTCTCTGTACTACCTGGTTAGTATCTCTCGTGTCTGGATGGATTTCTGTCACTTCAAACAATAGCCCAGGTACCCCCATCTTCAGGAGGGTTGGGCTGTAGGTGCTACAAAGTTCTGTTCCACTTTATTTTGCTTCACAACCATTAAGGCAGTTCCTGTTCAACTGCAGCAGGGACTTAACAGGTGTATAGTTCTTACTCAGCAAGGGACACAGAATAAGGGATTGTGAGAAGACCCAAAACTGAGCTGTAGCTTTGTCAGCCTTTGTGAATAAGAGATAAGAGAGTGGCAGTTTGCTCACATGGCAGGACAGCCACCAGAGCACTGCAGAAGGAAGAGTTCATGCTCCTGTGACCCCTCAGGCTGTCACCAAACTGCACATGCTTATGTCAGTGCAGTTACTTCTACAGTGATCCATGTGCAGCAACTCTCCCCTCCCTCCTCCTCCCTCCAACTGATGCCAACCAGTTTAGGCTTAAACTCCAAAGAGTTTAAATTTGCATTCACGACAGAATCTGACATGAAAGTTTGGGACTGGGTGTCTGAATACAGAGATCTGTAAGACTCCTAGTTCAAGCTTACCACCAGCTTATGGATGTACTGTACTGTGTCCTGATTTAGGAGCTGCACATCAATATTACGGAGGTCTCCACCAGCTGTACAGAGTGTCTGTGAAGAGAAACAATTATAAGATTAAAAGATTTTTCTTGCATGTCAAGCTTCTCTGAAACTCACGTGCTCCCTTGTACATTGCAAAACTTTGGCAACCATTATCCTTTTGTTTAGCAGCATCTCATTTAGCAATAGCAAGAGCTATCACTATCAGACTATTTGCATTGATCAACTACTGTAAGTTGAAAATGTTTTTTAAAAAAAAAAGATACCTGTCCATCAGCCAGGGGAATGTTGACAAATGGAACACTTTTATGTTGGGGTACTGATTTACTTCTCTTTAACATGCTTTGAACTCTTCCACTTGCAGGTAAAGTTCTTGAGACAGTCTGTTGTAATCCAGCACTAGAATACAAGGAAAATGTCACTCTGAGGTTAACTTTCTATGCTCTGCTGGAAATTTTCAAGCATGAAGCAAATGCCATTAGTAGGAAATACACCTAGGAGAGAGGCAGTCATGTTTAAAATTTTCCAGTTTTGCCAGGAGATACAGAAATCCAACCATGAGCAGCACTTACGGGCACTGCTGGGTAATGTTTATGACCCTGCCACTGCAGTAACCTTGTAAGCCTGTGACACAAGATGACATTTTGGCCACTCAGTAACAAGAATATCCACTCTCCAATATCAGCAGTGAATGTTTACAGTTTTGGAAAGAGGAAGCTTCGTGCCTCAGGGCTTAAGATAAGACGTGCTGTATCTGTCTACTACAGAGGGAGATATCAATAAATACCAAAGCTGCTACCTCTCAGAGGCACAGGGTGTGCCTTATGCCATGCAGAATTTCTAACTTTTCATTATACAACAGTAATTATTATTTACTTTAAAAATGTAAGATTTGGGTGTGTTCTGCATGGAAACAAGCCTCTGACATTTATAGCTGGCCAAGGTGAAACTGAACCACTTACTGGTTTCAGGACCCATTTAAGTTGTTCACCCCCTCACTTCAGCTTGTGCCAAAAGCAAACTGTAGGGTATGCAGAATGATACTAACTAAAAATCTTGACTGTTCAAGATGCCAAGAACTGATTATCAGTGTATTTGGTTGAGGAGCTTGGTTGTGGGGATTGGTTTATTTTTCTTTTAACAAAGCAGTATTGATGACATTTTAGCCCAAGGCTGGGGTCTGAGAACAAGTTTACACTCTAAATACATTTTTTTTTTTTTTTTTAACTGACTTATTTAGGACATCAAATCCTGTGCCTCCACAATAATGTAAGTTAACACCCACACCCAAAACAGGAGGCGTAACTGGTTTGGCACCCCTACTGTCACATTTAGTGGCAGACCATGAAGATCTGTTATATCTAAATTGATAATAATATATAGTGTCTTGGTATTGAACAAAATTATTTATTAAGAGCAAACTGAAAACTCCTCACCTTTTAGCTCCCTTTGGAGTGGCTTTGAGATTTGTGGCACTGCAATGAAAACAAAGAGACTTAGCATCCTTCTGCAAGCTACACTAGCAGAAGAGTAAACACTTAAAGAAGTAGTTACTGGCTTTGTGTTTTGTTGGGGGTTTTATTTTGTTGGTTTACTATTTTTATGTATTTCCTCTTCATCTACTTCTGTAAAGTTTTAGCTAGGATGAAGGTAGACAGAAGCAGATTAGAGAATGCTGAAGTGGCCCATGACAGGGATCTAGTGTGAAAAACACATGTGAAAAAGCCCTCCTGTAGTAAACGTAACATAGTGGGATTAAAACCATACAAGAACACAATAATAATTTGTTGCTGAGCAAGGGAGGCTGCAATAGCCAAGTTAGGTGTTTATTACAGAACAGTTCAGTAGTACTAGCAGAGCAAAGATGCTTTCCTTGCATGCTCTCTTCCATTAGTACAGTTTGGGAATCTGTACTAATCCCCTAAGTTCAGAACTGTGCATCATTATGCCTTCATCAGCTACAGGTGCTTTTTTGCTCAGGTTCACATCACCACAGTGCATCTCAGGTTATGGAAGAATCCTTATCAGATGTATTCCCATTGGGCTCAAGTCTCAGCTACTATATTTGAAAATAATTGCGTTCAGCACTCAAAAATTCAGGTGATTTAAATAAACTGTCAAACATCAGTCTTACCTAGAAAGAGAGTTCAGTTTGCCACTTATACCAGAGGCCAGTGAAACCAGCGACCTGGTTTTGGAAATCTAAAAATTTATATATAAGAATGCAGTTAAAAAAGGTAGCATTTGAAAGCAAAATGATAGGTATTTGCAGGAAACAATACTGTAAAAATTCCCTGCTGAAAAAGGGTAGTTAAGCCCCATAGTGTTACTTTTGAGATATATATATAAATGCCAAATATACATTCTAAAAGAAGTTTCATAATGTCAAAACATTTATTCCTAATGAACTTCTGCATAACCAACCACCTAATATACACCCTTCCAACTTTAAGCCTTTTTACAGTAAAAATCTGTAATTGCACAGAATCTTTTTTGTATTTGTTGTCAGCTTGCTACATCAGTGTCTGGCTGAGGAGCTACATTGCCCAGACAGACTGAGGTGGCAAAACTAAAACACTTGATTTGGTTTAGAGACAAGAATGATTTGGTTTAGAGACAAGACTCAGCTATAGAAAAGCATGGATTGAACACAAGGTTGATTTAAAAAACAAAGTTTCAACAAAATGTGGCTCCTCAGAACACCAAGACTTACTGGCAAGAGAGAATGACTATGCCAGTACTTGCCAGCCTGTGGGAATTAGTCACTAGAAGTGCAGATACCATATTTCATTATGAAAATAATTTAAAGTTGCTTAACTTCAAATACATTACATTTAAAATAACTGACTTTTCCAGCAGACAGCAGAGCACTGGCCTGCTTTCTCATGGATCTAGCAGGCCTTGTGGCAGGTCAAAACTGACTAAGTCCTTATGTTTTTTTAATAAAAAATAGAATAAACTTACTTTTTTAGTTATTTTCTTTGCAGAACTGTGCTTGGCATCTTCATATTCAACAATCGTAGTTACCTTAACTATAAATGTATTAGCAAGACAAGGAAAATAAAGATCTCATGGAGAGCACAAAACACCACTTCAGCCTCATGTTTAAAGCCTATTTCCCCCCCATGGACAGCTTTGGCCCTTGTGCCATCCAATGTCATTCACTTGGGACACAGGTCAAAGCAAACTCTGTGTGTTCATCACAGGCACTGGGACACACAGGACAGTTAAAAGACCCAGATAATCCCTCAGCCCACAGACAAAACAGAATTACACCCAAGTGGTAGCATCCTCCTTATTGCATATTTGGGGATATGAAGAAAAATGGTATTTTTCTTACAAAGCTCAATGGACAGAATGTTACGGGAAACCTAAGAGGTTGTGACTTTCCTATTTCTCCTGCTATACTGTAAAGCCTTAAATCTGTCTCTTCTTACCATTTCCCCTGATAAATACAAAGGACAGAAGCTCATATCTCATGCTTTAAAGTACCTCTACAGCAGCATAGCTCATGATTCTCCACATGGAATGCTGCAGGGTCTGTTATGCACTTTTCCCTCTTGTATTCTTCAGGCTTAACATTCATTTTACAAATGCTCGGTTCAAACCAGCAAAAAAAAAAAAAAAAAAAAAAAAGAAAATGCAAGAACCACAGGCTATATATTAATGAGTTGACCTGCCTTTTTTGCTGTTGGTCCTCACCAGTTTGGGATTTGGCATGTCTTCTACAGAGCAGTCAGTCTGAAAAAAAAATGTTTATCCAACAAGGGAAGGTCATCAGATTTTACCCAGTAGATGCATATTATGTTACAAGAGGCAGTGAACTAAAAGGACATAAAAGCAACTGACAGGAAGTGGGATTGGCTAAACATCAGTTGTTTTTTTGGGATTTTTTGGGAAACATCTGAATTTCTGCCAGCAGATGACCCTAAAACTTTAGGTAATGTTCCTAACTGCACCATGGCTGGCTGCCTAGTCATTTCATATCATCTTCTGTTTAAACACACAGCCAAATGAAATAATTTGTCTGAAGTATTTACAGCATGGAGAGAAGAATTTTATTCTGTAAACTGTGATAAGATTTGAAAACACACACTTACCACTGCAGCAGCAAGAGCCACTTCCTCCCGTCCTTGCAAATCTGTAACTCAAGAAATTATAACTTATTTAGATGCTATTACTTGCATAATTTTTATCTTCATATTCTTATGGGCTCAGAAGCCAAACAATTCAGGATTACAGTGGTTAAATATGTGCATATGTGTTACATTTGAAGAAGATTCCAGTCTTGTAGGACAGTCACTCCTACAAAACAACAACGAAAATCTAAGGCCATGTCAGTGTTTATCCTTGAAAGAATGCTGAGTGTAGTCACACAGGGGATCCCCCACATTCAAAGATCCACCACACATACACATTGCACTGCAGACAACTAATGCTCTTGGGCAAAAGTTTCTCCAGAAGGACACCAAAATACATACTCAGGCTCACAGTAAACTCAAGTTCTTCAAGAGGTTCAGGTTTGATCTCTATGTGGCCCCTACAATTTCCAGCTGCAAGGTAGATTCCAGAAACACCTGTTCTCACCACCATATACATCTGATGCTGAGTGTAAACATCTTAAACCTCTGCATCAATGGGAGTTAAACTTCTTTGCTTATCATCACAGGTATATGACTAGATTAGAATGGCTCAGGAGAGTTCAAATTGACAAAGACAAAATCATTTTGGTGGCTAAGGATGAACAGATTCAGATGAACAAAAATGGTTGGTTTTACACACAGAAAATGCTAGGTTTGTAATTATTTCTTGTCTTTTCAGACTTTAAATAATATTACACATATCAGTACTCTCCAGACTAGTCACAAACTAATTCTATACCCTGTGTTACACAGATCAGTCTACTTGAACAGGAGTGCTCAGCAGATAAGTGGGTAACAGCAGATAAGCTGATCTGCTTAAAATACAGGGCAGGCCAAGCAAACCTTTTCATGAAAGCCAGCAAGCTCCCAGGTTTTCTCCCGTAGAGCCGGGCACACGGCTGCCCGCACCCGAGCACAGGGCCCCGCACTCTCACCGAGCACCTCTTTCCTTTTCATCTTCCTGACGGCAGCCGGCATCGTCAGCAGCTCCACCGCAAACGCTTTCTCCGCCGTCTGCAAAAGCGAATCGAGCTCTTTCTTCATCTCCTGGATGTGCTCCTTGGCTTTAAAACAAAACACGCTCCTATATTGCCCCGCGTGTTACATGTTTCCAAGTGTAAGCACTGCAAGACCGCACTATCAAAGAAAGTTAAAACAGCGATTTATCCGGAAAAATCTGAGCGGGGAGTCGGAGCGCCTGGAGCCTCCCTCAGCCGCCAACCCGGGGCGCGGGGCAGGCGGCCCCGCCTGAGGGCGCGACCCCGGCCCGGGGCTCTCCCGGCCCGGAGCCGCCGTTCCCTCCCCACCCCGGGCAGCCCCGGCCATACCCTGCTGGTCGAAGTCGCTGAGGAAGAGCGCGATGCGCTGGTCCCTCTTCTTCTGGGATAGCGCGGTGCGCTGCTCCCTGTCCCGGGGCAGCGCCCCGCGGTCCGGCTCCACGCCCGAGTCGCTGCTGCGCCGCCGGCACGGGGCCTTCCCCGGGGCCATGGCCGACAACCGGGCCGGGCCGAGGCGTGCCCGCAGCCGCGCCCGGAGCGGGACCGGCGGGACACACCCCAGGGGCGGGCAGGGGTGGCCGGGAGCCGCCGGGGCCGGGGACGAGCGGAGCCCGCGGTGCCCGGGCTCTGTCAGAAGGGACGGAACGCCGTGAGGGGAGGGGGGGGTGGGAGTGCCCCGCCTCGGAGGTGCCTCAGGCGTTGGCACCTGTGAGTGACAGGGCGAGGAGGAATGGGTACAAACTGAAAGGGGGAAACTGAGGTTAGATAATGGAGAGGAATTATTTACCCTGAGGGCGGTAGACACTGGAACCCAGGGAGGTTGTGGGTGCCACAGCCCTGGCAATGCTCAAGGCCAGGCTGGATAAAGCCTTGAGCAACGGTGTGGGAGCTGTCCGTGCGCAGGCAGGGGGGTTGGGACAAGCTGATCTCTAAGGTCCATTCCAACCCCTCAACATTCTGTGATTCCACGATGTAATCATCCTTACGCCCCGGCAGGAGCTGGGCAGGCCCCTCTCTCACACACAGATGAATGGCGCTGTTTTGTTCCCCGTTTGGAGCCGGCCCGGGCACGCAGGAGCTCCGCGTGAGCAGGTGAGCGTTTCCATCGCCGGGGTCTGTGCCCGCAGCCGGGGTGCCCAGGGCTGGGCCAGGCGCTGCTTGTGCTGCCCCGGCTCCCCCAGCTGCTCTGTGTTCCATAGGAAGGACCTGTTCCAGAGCTCAGCTTTGGGTTTAGCTAGATTACTGCTGTTCAATGTGCAGGGCATGCAGGGGTTCAGAGATAACCAAGAGAATAACCTGCTCTGTCCAGTGCAAATGGTTACAGCTTGTGCAAATTCTGATCAGGTGAAGACAGGATTTAACCAAAACGTTGTAACAGGGAACATTAGAAAGGTGTGGCTACACCAAGTACTGAATATATAAAAATATTCAAATCCATATCATTAAAAATACAATTCCATGAAGAAACTTATCTTGCATGTATCTAAATTAAAAAATAATACTAGAGGTATTGTATCTTGGGTTTTGTACAAATTTGAGCAAGGAACTGTGCAAAAAGGCATTTAGATAATGCTTTAAAACACTGGTGGTTCTCACATTGTGTATATGGATGCTGCAAACTCTCTGAAGTGAGTAGCTTTTTCTGTATCATATGCATCTGGCACATCTCCTGAGCCAGATGGGACAGACTGTGTCACTCAAAAAGAGATGCAAAAAATCTGACACTTCATAATACAAATATTTTGTATCAGACAATTTTCTTCTTCATAAAACAAACAATGCACTACACTTCCCACACCCAAAAAAAAAACCTCTTCCAGACAAATAGGCAAGTGTTTCTGTTCCAGAAAACACTCAAAATCCTGATATAAAGAAAATAATATCCTGCTTTTGGTAGTTCTGGCATATGCATATATGTTTACAGAAGCAGGACTAGTTTCCCTTTCCCTAAATTTTGTTTTCTTTGAAATTACCAAACACCACTAAAGTAATTCTGAGGTGTCACTGCAAAAAGACTAGATAGTTCTGCTCTGTAAGTTTAATCTCCTACAAGCCATGTAAGAAGTTTTTTGAAAAGGGAACTTACAACACCTCACCAAAGCTTTCAGGACACAGGTGATCAGCCTCAGCTGCCTGACTGATCATCTCTGTGAAGAAAGAAGTCTGGCTTGCTTGACTCCTGGTTACAACTCCTTACATTACAGAATTAATTATGACCATAAACTTGCCTAAGACCATCTCTATTTACAGTTCTGCACTTGTAGGGAATAATTTTGTGGTAATAAGTTGGACAAATGTCAAGTCCATAAACTGGAGTGATGCAGAAATTTATGATCTGGTACATGGGTATTAAATATTAGTAAATATTGGTTTGAACATGGGATTAAATGTGTCATAGTGTGATCCAGGTGGTGTTGCTTCAGTGACATAGAAAATGGAGAAGTATTACCATTTTTTAACATGTGCTTTATTATTTGGAAGTCTTATACATCTGAAGTACTGTTATAAGGAGCACCTGGAGGAAGATCAAACCTATAAGCATGCATTTGAAAGGAAGAATAGTCTGTTGTTAATGAAATATTTCAAAGACATGGAAAACAAGCCTTTTTGTCTTAGGTTTACAGGATTGTTCCACAAAAATGCACATTAACCTTATCACAATACATACAAATATTGTGGATGAACAATAGAAATCACCACCCTTCCATATGAGATGCATCAAGAATAAATTGTTATCCCTTATAATGTCAGAAACAGAAAAGGCACCATAATAGAATGTTTAGAAAAAACTCAGTTTATGCCATTCTATTTTGATTCAAAACTGTAAGAATTACTGTCCCGACTTAAAACAAAAAGCCTTTCACACCTGTAAATTATCATTATAAACTTGTAAACCTTTACATTTTTTTTTCCAGAAGTATCAGGTGCAAATGCAAGGCAAATATAAAATCTATTGACTTATTAGATTACAAATACTACCCCATGAAAAAGCTGTAGTTACAAAAATATAAAAAATATTCTAACTCCCATTGTTAGATCTTAGTTTCAATCTACACTGCATTAAGAGTCCGAAGCCAGATCTGATTTGGACACATTCCTAGAGTAGGAAAGTGCTGTTTGTCTTATTTTCACATCATTATTCTGACCTCCTCCCACAGTTTTGCTTTCTGGGTTTGTTTTATTTATTAGTGCATATTAAGGATGCCAAGTAGTGGGTGCTGGCAGGTTGTATTTTTCAATGGATGGTAGCAGCGTAAGTGCTCTCAATGTGCTCTCCTCCCAGAAGTGCACCGCTCTGAGAAGAAAAACATCATTTTTTCTCCAATCCTCCGCAGTAGCTTTGTGTAGCAGCCATGCCATTCTCATCTATAACCTGTGACCCCTGGCAGGTGATTGAGAGGAATAAATTCTTCTGACAGGCCTCAGTAAGGAGCTGTGAGAAGCTCAGCCACTGCTGATGCTGGGTCATAGACAGGAGCTGCTGTGGTGAGGACAGTTACTGGCAGCATCCCGTCTTCCTGACATGAGAAATTGGCACAGCTTTATCTGGATGGTGTTTCTCTAGCCCTTGGCTTTAGTAAGCTGGATCAGCACGGGGTGTTGGACCAGTTACAACAGCAGCCTCACAAAGTGCCAGTAGACATTAAAATGAGTTTACTTCTAAATAACACTTTCAAATAAATGACTAGATTGAATGTGATATTCTTGGTGAATAAACTCTGTAACAGCTGAGCCTAAGCCTGACAAATGCTAATGCTTTCACATCTGAATGCCGAAAGCTCTGTTCCTTGAGCCCTTTATCAGAGCTAGCAGAAGGTGTCCAGCTTCCAGCTCTAGAGAAACAGAAGCTGTCCTTTGTTTTGCAGGGAAGCTGGCAGAGATTAGTGGAGTCACTCAGCTGTACTCCTAGATAGCCACCTTGTTCAGCTGGGCTTTGAGAAGCACTCAGGATCCTTCAGACAGCAGTAGGACTGTGGAAGATTTAAGTGTCAGCTGTACTTTCATTGTCTTTATGCTTGCTGAAAGACTTTTTCCTTTAAATACCTTCCTCTCCATGAGAAATCAGCCCCAGCATTTCTCCTGGTAACAATGTGTCAGTCCTTGCAAGTTCCAGCTGGATTTTGGCCAGCTCGAGGGGCTGTGTGATGTTTCCAAACAAATGCTGCCCACAGACAGAGCAGTTCTGAAAGAGTTGTGTTTTACCCTGCTTGAAAGGATTGACTGTACTCACATCTGCTTTGAGACATTAACTTACTCTCTCCCATGTGTATAAAAGATGTGGGCTAACAGGAGACTCCTGGAATTGTTATGGCAGGAAGTGCTCAGAGCTCTTACGCTGGGATCATGTGTTGAATAGCACAGGAAGAAGAAGATTGTACTCCTTATTATGTTTCAGTTTCATAAAAATATTGTTTAAGCAGACACCACATTCACTCCTCTGATCAAAACTGTATATTCCATTCCAGCTGTGCTGGGATGGCAGGATTTCTTTTCAGCAGAATTTCAAAGGTATCTGGACACATCTGCTGGAGGTTTTTTAAAATAAGCACACTGTCCCTACATGCTTGGTCAGGTTTGGAGAACACTTCACACTTAACAACAAAAACAACAGAAGTTAAACCAAGCAATGCGTATAATGTAGGAGTTTTGATTTTTGTTTAGTAGAATTTTAAGATGGGAAACAAATTCCTATCTAAACAATTGAACTTGGCATTTCTGTTTTGTAAAAAACCCACATGACAGTAGTAATTTTAATGAACAATTCCCTTCCCCAACCTATTGAGTCAAAAGTTCACAAATGTAACTTTCAATCAAGGCACAAAAACATTTACTGATTCTTTCACCACTTTCTTAACTTTCTTCCCCTTCCCCTTAAAAAAAAACAAACCTGGTGTAACAATGTCTTCTACACCAGACATAACTTTAATAGTCCAATAAGTTGTAGCAGTATCTGAGTCTGGTTCTACCTATTTTGAATTTAGTTAAATTAGATAAACAGCACATTCTCAGCACATCATTGTTCATTGTCTGCATTTGCCTTGAAGGGGAGGGGATGAGGGGGAAAAGCCACAGTAGTTTCATGCATATTTTTCAAGAAACTTTATGTGGAAGTCTTTCACTTTCTCCAGTAGGATCTTCAGCTTCTCTACTGGAGGAAGAATGGTAATTCTGAAAAATAATATTTAAAGAAATAAAAAAACCAACCCATATTATCTTCAGAACCAACTAAACTGTGATCTTTACACAATTCTTGATTAATCTCAAAGTACAGCAAGTAACGTGTTAAGTTTGACATCTTTTTGATATTATTCTCTCTTTTTTTTTGTATTTATACTTTAATTGAACTATACTATTAAACTAGAGCAATTTATTTCAAGGAATTTAAGAACTGTTATTTTCTGTTGAGTGGTGTAGATTATCAGTAAGAAATAACAGCAACTCAGTTTCCACTGTTGGGCATTTGTGCCAAATTATACCCAGTTTTTGAGCTTTAAGAGTTGTCAGTACATTTTTTCTTTAATTGATACCTGAGTACAGAAGCATTAGAACAATGCAACATCCCATTCTGCAGATTTTCATCCCTTTTTCCCTGCTGCACCCCCTGAAAATCCCATGGGGT